ACATTTGACCTAGAGCCAAATTTGGTCAAATCCATTATTTCATCCAGTGTTAGTTTTAAAAACATTAATAGATTGGGTATTGACCCTCGAGTATTCTGGAAGTGTATCAAATGTTCTTGAGGCTCTGAAGCGCTGATGCATGTATGTCCCAAAAGTGTTTTTCAATAGATGATTTTCCTTTGAAATCGTACAGTTTTTAAGATTTTCAACACAAAGCGACGCAGTTTATGAGCGTCAATTCTAATAACCAACAATTTAAGGAGGTAAATATATCACACGGGACTTGTAAATTTAGGAATTTTCCTCTTACTTTTCTCAACGGTCGGTATTATTTTTAGTGTTGTATTGATAACTCCGAACGCGCCCGGCTGCGCTTCGAGCAACTCCTCTCTTGTGCTTTCCAAACTCCCCGCGTGCGACAGAGCTGAATAATGAAATGCTACGTCAGCGGGTAGGCGGTCAACAACGCGGGCTCAAGTATCCTAGGTCAAAAATTTAGCGAAAATAGCGGAAAATAATAAGGGCTAACCTTTAAAACCGAGGAACTCTGTTTTCGAGGAAGGCACTTTCCTATTTCCAAAGGTTTAAAGGAGAAAATAATTTTTTAATATTTTTAGGGGGTGTACCAAATATTGGAGGTTGTTCTGTAAAAGAAAAGCGCCAAGGAAAACGACGCCTCGAAGCAACAGAATAGGAAATCAACCATGTGAACGACTCAAAATCCGTGTTTCCGCGGGCAAAACGTGGCGCATGCGTATACGTTATTCAGCTCTGTCCCCGCGTGCACTATGACTCGAAACAGGCATCGGAGGCACATAAATCTTTAATAAATCTCGGATAAAATATGAATATCCCGAGATAGATAAAAACATGTGCGGTGCGCTGAAATATACATATATGAAAAATAGAACTTACTGCGTATTTATAAAAGATCATTGTCTAAAAATTAAACTATGTACTTTTAATCTATGAACACCAACAACATCTAGGTTATTTCTCCCATAGACAGCAATTCCGCCTCTTTTTCTTCAACACCACTCTTGACCAGTTCTTGTCCCGTCTGAATATGTTTTAGATAGTTATGCTGACAATAGATTCAGGTTTATGTGGCTCAAGGTGTGCTTAGGAGGAGACGCAAACATCAATAGTCGTTCTTCTTTAAATGATCTTCGAGAGTACAGCAGCTCTAAACCAGTTCTTTTG